CACGGTAGGGACACCTCACACGGTAGGGACACCTCGCACGGTAGGGACACCTTGCACGGTAGGGGCACGGTAGGAACTGGCTGAGTGCACGGGTATTTCACTGTGGCCGTCCACTCCTTGGCTCTAGGAGCCCCATTTTCCATTCTGAAAAATGACATCAGGGTTGTTATTCTAAGTCATCAGGGTCATAGTCCACTCAACCGTAGGAACATAGGTATCTACCCACCTAGCCGTCGTCAACCACCACCACCTGCCAACTTGTTGACCACGGCGGGCAGCACCTTCCTTGGCCTGTCCCCTCCTCTCATTCGTCTGGCAGCGGCGCTGTGCCCCTCTCCTAACAGAGCCCTTGCCAGCCCCGCCCAGGGGTCCCTACCTTCAGTATCTGCACCTGCTCTCCGTCTCTCATCCTTCTCACCTTGACTGACACACACCTCCCCAGAGAGAAAGACCTCCCTCGAAGTTATCCTTCCCCTTGTTTCCTCCATCTCCAATCTTTGCTTTTAATGTAAAAATGCCATTTTGAGTCTATTTTCCCTCCTGGGGAGCTCTGGTGGTGAACTTTGTAGGAAGGTGGCTGCTAACCTGAGGCAGTTGGTTCAAATCCATCAGCAGCTCTGAGGACAATGGATGTGCAATGTCTTTGTAATTAGCCTCTGAAAACCCACTGGAGACTCAACTACGAGTCGGTTTTGACTCAGTGGCAATGAGTGGCCAAGCCCCTTCTAGAATGTGGTTTCAGGGGAGCAAGAACTGTGTGTCTTTTCAGTGAGGAGAATGCGTATGAGTGACTCTTGCATGCTAAGACTCTTTTTCTGGTTTGACTCTGCAAAGTAACACTATTATGCTAAGCAGTCTCTGTGGAAAGTATTCCAATCATTCATGCCTTTCTTACTCCTGCAAACGTGGCATGCTGAGTCTGTAACCCTGAGGGCCCAGGTGACCCACGGCGCTCATTAACGAGCAGACCCCATCAAGCTAACCTCCCACACAAACTGCCAGATACTGCTTTTGCAAAGAGTCATTTCCAAGACAGGTCTTGAATGTTAATACCCAAAGACATAAAACACACACTGTCAAGTGCACTCGGCTTCTCCCAGGGTTAGCGACATGGGCTGTGAAGAGAGTGTCAGCCCTTCCCCTCGCAGCTGAACTCACGGCACCCGCTGACAAAGGGCTCTGCTTCCAGACTGAGGATCTGGGAATGTTTTGATAAAGAACAAACAAGTAGCTCGGGTGGCTTAGTGGTAAGGGACTGTGTTGCCAACTCAAAGGTACATGGTTTGGATCCACCAGCTTCTGTGAGGGAGAAAAATGGGTAATCTCCTCCTATGAGATTTACTGCCTCTGAAAACCACAGGAGGGTCAGCTACAAGTCAGTTCTGACTCAATGGTACACAACATCATCAGAGAAGAGGAAGAAGTCACACAAGGACATGAACTGACACTATGGCTCCAACAATGAGCTCAAGGGTGGTGCGGGTCCAGGCAGGATTTTTCTCTGCCGTACATAAGGTTACTATGAGTTGGTGAGGCAGGGAGCTGTAACACCAACCCAAAGGCAAGTGGTTCGAATCTACCAGCTGCTGCACAGGAGAAAGACGGGCCATCTCCTCCCATGTGATTTACTGCTCTGCAAACCTGCTAGAGGGTCAGATGTGAGTTGACTCCAACTCAACAGGACATGACAATTGAAGAAGGATCCCCGGTGGCACAGCGGGGGGTGAAGCACTTGCTAACTAAAAGATCAAGGATTTCAACCACAGCAGTTCAAAGATGAGGCAGTCTGATTTGGTAAAGAGTCCACCCAAAAGCTCAGTGAGGCAGGTCTGCTCTGTCCTGTCAGGGTGCATGGGTCAGAATCAGTTCGCCAACAGCAGGTTGGGATTACGGGCCACACTGTCCACTTTACGCGGTAACAGAGCTTGGTTTTCGTTGAGTCTGTGAGACTTTAATATCATCAAAGTTGTCACTGATTCATCTCTTTGAGTTACCTCTGGGGCTAAGAAATAATGTGATGACTTAAATGACCTGACCCTCTTACCAGGCGCTTCTCCTGCCCGCCTCAGTCACAGGGCAGGGGTCAGAGGAAAGAAGAGTGCTGGACTTGGGCCAAGCCTGAATATGAAGCATTCATGAAGAAATCACGGACGCGATCCTCAGTGACCGAACACGGTGCTAGAAGTGTTTCCCAGTAATTCTAAGTAGGAATTGTGAAAAAGGGCTTTAACTTTTTTTATTCCCCCAGCATCCCTGCGAACTAAATAGTCGTAAAACCACTTGAATTTGTGGAGTGAGTTACAATTTGCAAAGACTCATGATCTCACTCAATCCACTCCCCGCTGATGGGGACAGGATGATACAACTGAACCTCCACTTGGAGATAATTGTGGAGATTAAGGGCCACCTAGGGGATCCCAAAGTGGGTGATGGATGCTGAGGCCGGGCTCCCAGACCTCCCTCATTGGGAGCTGTTGTGATTAATTCACCCACTTGCCTAGAAAGTTTCCTTCCACTGGAGAAAATGAAAAACACCCCTCTCTGGACAGGAATGCAGATCATAAATGAGAACCAAGGAGAAAAGGTTTGGGCAAAAGCACAAGCTCAGCAAAAAAGGAAACTGGAAATAAATCAAACAAAGGCCATTAACAAGCCTGGGTAAGAGAAACGGCTCTCAAATCATTTGCTAAGCACTCAACAATCCCATTTACACCTGTGGCTTGCAAACACCTCCAGTGACTCCAGCGGCAATGCCCATGTTCTCTATCCTTTTGGGAGAGAAGAGAAAAATAGGAGGAGAGAGACCCATAGGCATCAGGGGAACGAAATCTGGCTAATATTTGTAATTTCTGCACAGAACTCTATTGTCACTGTTGCTGAGTGCCATTGAGCTGACCGTGGCTCATAACCGTGAACCCAGGCCATCCCCATCATCTCTCACGTGCTCAAGCCCACTGTGACAGTCACACTGTCAACCCGTCTGGCTGAGGGTCTTCCTCTCCTTCCCTCTGAGTATCAGAGAGTATGTACTGCTGCTGCCACAGCCCTGGGGATCTCTTGTCACACGGCTGGTAAGACACTGTCCTGCCCCTGAAACAAAGACCAGGCAGAACCACGCAGACAAATTATGGGCAGCAAACCTTCTGGAGGGGTCAGTTCCTGGACTCACAGACTCACCGCACTTCCTTCCCTGTGTCCTGGTCCTCTCCCCTTGCCAGAAAATCTTCCCTGAGGTCAGTCTCTGGGGTTCTCAGGTGACACTTCCTGCTCTCACAGTCTCCTTTCTGGGAAACCCAGAGAGAGGCTTCCCCCAGCAAACTCCACACAGAGACGTGTCTGGAAGCCATCGGTACTTAAGTCGGAAGATGGCACCATGACAAGCACATTGTTTTCCATTTTCTATGAAATTCTTGAACATAAAATTCTAGTTTGGGATGAGCCCTGAAAGGTATGAGAACATACCAGAAGCTCCACTCACTCCAAGCTGCATCTATTACCATGCAAAATGCGGCAATACTCAAATGAGTTTTGTTTTTGAGGTGAACCAAGACAAGAATTTCAGAAAAACACAATCCACTGAACCAGAAGCAGCATTCTAGCTAGATCTCCAAGAACCAGTGATATTGTAGGAATAAAAGCAGAGATATTACAAATCTCCAGCCTCTTAATGCTATTCACATATGCCCTCAGGGTCAACTCCCAAGAATCGCCTGTCACCCACTATTCCCCAGGAAAACATGGAATTCTTAGGTTTCATAGGTTTGGTTTTGATGGTTCTCAGAGGACTTGACTCTCAATGCCTAAGGAACCCTGAAGGACCCTGGACAAGCCCCTGGATGGGCACTGGTAGTTTTTAGTTCCTAAAGATTTAACCCGTCCCACCACTTCTCACATGGCACTCAAAGATGGCAACCCGTGATTCTCTGATTCTTACTACGTGGAAAGCAGTTTCTTTTCTGGAAGATTCTGTGGGGGCTCTGGCCAGAATTTGAAGGGATTTTGGGTTGGCCATCTCCCAGCATGCATTTCCAGCTGTGAGCGAACACAACCCCAAGGTGGGTGCAGACGACGTACCCGGTGGACGGGTTCATGATGCAGCCGCCTCTGCCCGCAGTCATCCTGCAGTCACAGCCCCTCTCCAGCGTGTCATGGTTCATCCCGAAGTTGTGGCCCAGCTCGTGGGCCAGGGTAACAGCTGCACCCAGGGGGCTGTCCGAATGGTCCTGGAAGAAAGAACAAGTGTACAGAGTTCATATCTCCTCGGTCTCATTTCCTACCTTGTTTACCAACCCCCGTCTGTCCCTTCATCACCTTCTGAGTTAATCTGATTCCCACCAGGGAACAACACAGATACCTGGAATTTAAACTGGCTTTTTAAAAAAAAAAAAATTAATGAAAATTTACAGAGACTTAGAGTTTCCAGTCATTTATTGTTGCACTTTTCTCCCTGCCCACACCCTACCCCCTAATTCACTCTTCTCCTTGAAAAGAAAAAGAAACAAGACAACTATATCATCTCACCCCAGTAAGACTAGCAAAATTTAACAGAACAGCAAGCAACAAATGCTGGCGAGGTTGTGGAGAAACTGGAACCCTTATTCACTGTTGGTGGGAGTGTAAAATGGTACAACCACTGTGGAAGGCAGTATGGCGCTTTCTCAAAAAGTTGCAAATAGAGATACCATTTGACCCAGCAATTCCACTACTGGGAATATACTCTAAAGAGACCATAACTGACATCCAAGCAGATAAATGCACACCCATGTTTATTGTGGCTTTATTCACAATAGCAAGGAGTTGGAAACAACCTAAGTGCCCATTAACAAATGGATAGAGAAGTTGTGGTATATTCACACAATGGAATACTATGCTGCATTGAAAAATAAGGAAGTTATGCAATATTAAAAATGGGTGACCCTGGAGGACATTATGCTGATTGAAATATCTCAGTCACAAAAGGACAAATACTGCATGGTGCCACTGTTGTAGAATGAGGCTGACATCAGGGTGGGGGTAAGTCTGAGAAAAAATGGATAAATTATGTATACTGCATTGAAGCCGATGAGGGAGAGAACAGTTTAAAAATAATATGTTTTAGGGCATTATGATTATCATAAGAGTTTGGAATGAGGGTTTCAGAGTGGAGTATACTCAGGGTGAGGGTGGGAAGGTGCAGGGGATTGTATACCAATAAAGGAGTTTTTTCTTTGCTTTTATAGAAGAGCGAACTTGGGGTGGGAGGGGAGAAAAGTGCAACAATGAATGAATGGAAATCCACAATCTCTGTAAATGTTCATTGAAATTAATAAAAATAATAAAAAAAAAGAAAAAGAAAAACTCATGTTATGCAATCCCTTCCCCCAGGTCCACTCTACTGTGCAGCCTTCATTCTGGACTCCTGTCATGACAATAATACCCTTCATATATTCCTTTTGAACAATTCTCTCACTCATCTGTTTCAATGCAGTATACATCATTCCTCCCCTCCTTTTCCGTCTTCCCTCCACCCCGATGTAGTCCTCTTTTACAACAGTGGCCCTATGCAATATTTGTCCTTTTGTGACTGAGATATTTCACTCAGCATAATGTCCTCCAGGGTCATCCACTTTGCATAATATTTCATGAGTTCTTTGTTTTTCAATGCTGCATAGTATTTCATTGTGTGAATATACCACTTCTCTATCAATTAGTTTGTTGATGGAAACTTTTTTAAAAACAAAACAAAACACAAAAACACCAAACAACAACAACCCACAGATTTTACTAAACCAGTTAGTGGTCCCTTCAGCTGAGAAACATCCACCACCCCCCCTACGTCTTTAATGAAGAACTACAGCAGTACCCGTCTTCCTGCCTCTGACTGGCCCTCACAGGGCACCACCCCAGAGAACAAAGCGAAAGGCTGCCCTACGCTCTAGAAAGCAAAAGCAAGCTCATTTCTTCATGTGCAGTCAATGGACCACTTTCTCTCCTGACAGAGCAATGGTGAGAGGAAGTGGGCAGGAGAAAGCAGAGTCGTGACATTCCAACGAGACCTGGACAGACTGACGTAGAGCATATGTACCGGCATGTACACTTGGTAAACCAACAAACCAGCCAGTCCACTGCCACTGACTTGATTCTGGCTCATGGTGACCCTACAGGACCGAGTAAAACCGCCCCACACCCGGAGGCTGTAAATCTGTATGATGGCAGCCTGTCTCTTCTTTCTGAAGGGGAGGAGCAAGAGGGTTTGAACAGCCAAGCGCTTTGATCACAGTGCCACCAGTTCTCCTTCTTCTACTGGGTGGTTGTTGTTGTTAGGTGCCACTGAGTACAACTCTTAGGGACCCATGAGCAGCAGATCTGAGCCCTGTCCTCTCCTGTGCCCACTCAAGCCCAAGGCTGTAGCCACTGCATCAGTCTGTCTCACTGAGGGTCTTCCTCTCCTGGGCTGACCCTCCACCTTTTCAACTATGATGTCCCTTTCCAAGAACAGTCTCTTCTAATGACATTCCCAAAGGATGTGAGATAGCTTTATCATCCTTGCCTCTAAGGAGCATTCTGGCTGCACCTTTTCCAAGACACAGCTGTCTGTTCTTTAGGCAATCCAGGTGATAGTCAGTACTCTTCTCCAACACAACTCACAGGCACAGATTCTTCTTTTGTCATACTTATTCACTGTCCAGTTCTCAGATGCAGAACAGGTGGGAAAACCATGGCTGGAAGCAGGTGCACTTTAGTCTTTAAGCTGACATCACTGCTCTTCAGGACTTTGGAGAGATCCTTGTAGACCTTCCAAGTGCAATACATCTTCTGATTTCTTGGCAGCTTGTACCAAGAGTGTTGACTATGGATCCAAGTAAGAAGAAATCCTTGACAGTTTCAATCTTTTCTCCACCTAGCATGCCTATTGGCTCAGTGGTGAGGACTTTTGTTACTATTAAAATGGGTCATCTCCCAGCTGTCTCCCAGGACTGGCCCTTTCCATGTCAGGTAAGGATCTACTCATAAGGGAAAGATCTTAGAAACTTGTTGGTGGCGTTTCCTGAGGCAGCTGCTGGCTTCACTAGGCTACAATCCAAGAAAAGAACGACATGGCAAGTGACCAAGTTGTTCTTAGAATAGATGAAAGTTCTAATCAATTAATTTGTTTAGATTTTATTGTTTTCTGTTATAGGAAACTTTACAAATATTCTTCAGAAATTAATTCTCAAGACTAACATACACTGGTGAAGGGAGGCTACTTGCTACCAATGTGAAAAGTGGACGTCAGCATGCGTGGGACAAGAGTGGAGGAATTCATCTGTAGAAAGAATACTCAGAATCTTCAGGATCCCTGAATTCAGTTAATTTTTAATCACCAAGTCCTCTTACATCCTTTCATATATCCATGACTACAAACAGAACACCACTTAATGAAGTCCTTTATTATCAATTTGTGTTTGTAAAGTGGAAAAAAGAGCAAAGACCTTGTTTATGTTGCTGTTACACGTCATCGAGCCGAGTACGAGCAGCAGTGACCCGATGAACAGACGACTTGGTCTCTTCCCTGCCCTGCGTCGCCCTCATCATCTCTGATATTTGAGCTCGTTCTTGGTGCCTCTGTCAATGCATCTCCCTGAGGTTAGGACGTTATCCTGTCAATACTGCTGTTGTGACGGTGGGTCCAAGGGCATGTACATGTACGCCTTGAAGCTGCTAAAACAGGTGATTTACTCTTAAACAAGAAGAAAGTAACCATGGCAGCATCCACATTTCAACTTTATGAAAATTCACACCCCCATGACCTCTCTCCCTCTCAGGTCTGAGACTGGAATCCATGCAGACGACCTTCTCTTCCTCTCAGGTCCGTGGCTGGAGGCCATGCAGACCACCTCTCTCCCACTCAAGTCTGTGGCTGGAGGCCATGCAGACCCCCTCTCTCCCTCTCAGGTCTGTGACTGGAATCCATGCAGACAACCTTCTCTTCCTCTCAGGTCCGTGGCTGGAGGCCTCAGAGACCACCTGCCGATTTGACTCTTCGGTTCCATAGAGAAGCATTAGTCCACAAATCTTGGATCAGGTCAAGATGCTGATCTTGCTTTTGTCATAAATGTTCTAGAAACCAAAGAAGCTGTGGCATTTGCATCCTCTCCCATGGGAGAGAAACAAGGGGCGTGTCTAAGGGTGACACTGATATTTTCAGATGATTAACTTTGGCCTTGACTTGTTTACTCACTGCAGTCCACACAGTTGGCTATGTTTAGCAAAGTCATTTTCCTTCCCTTTTTTTTTAAAAAAAAAAAGAAATTGGGCTTCTGTGCATATTTTTAAACAAAGAAAATGAATAAAATGAGCACACAGAAACAGAAAAATGGCATGTGCTGAAGTTGGTGATGTCATTTTGTCAGATCCATACAGGACCGTGTGACACCATTCAGAGGCAGACACTGCTGCGCTCGGAGAGGGGGAAGGGTGTGTGTGTACGCGCGTACTCTCTCACACGTGTGCATGCATGTATTTCCAGTAATTTTAAGTAGCAGAGTCAGTAGCAATGGTCCATGGAACCATGAAACAGAAAATTATTTCCTCTTAAAACTTTACAGGCTGGTCTGTAAGAGTACAGTTGGGACGGAGTGAAAAACGTACCTGGCATCAACCAAAACCAAATGTTCCAGTGATTTCCCTGGTGGAGATCACACTTCAGCATCCAGGTTCAAAGAGAACCGGGAAGGACCCCGCCTGAGCCAGAAATCCAAGCAGCGGGCACGCCCCCACCCACCCACCCAGGCCTCTCTACACTGCACATGGACGCATGTTCCCCCGGCGGCCAACGTGGGCCGAGGAGATGGGAACATCTGCTGAGTGCACTCCCGAGCAGATGAGGGAGGGTCTTCTGTGCACTGTAAATGACTGCCCTCAGGTTACTCACCCTTCCCAGGAAGACAACGGAACACTCACAGATGCTGGGTGAGAATGGAGGGGAATTGAAGCTTCCTTGGGGGACACAGTTCTACTCGGGTTCTGGAGGGGGACCTCTTTGTGGGGAACCTCCCTGTCTGTGGCTGATGCACAGGCAACACAATTGTCAGAGCTGGAAGCCTATCAGGACCACCGCCCTCTTCATCCCACAGAAACAACTCTCAACTAGTCTTCCTATTATTTCCTCCTTACAAACATATATCATCCGGAGATGACAAAAATTATCCCTGTAAAGCAATAAACCTAAGCCTGTGCCTTCCAAGAATAAGAGTATTACGAAGACAAGTCGTACGTGTGCCAGGAGGTATGTGAAACATTTGTGGCAGGAAATGGTTAAAAACCTCAGACACTTGGGTGTTGAGCTTGGACTGGACTCGTCAGTAACCGTTCTGCTGGTGATGGGTGGTGGGACTCAGACCATGGAAAGTGCAGTGATGGAGGGGAGAGGGAACACGCTTGTCCTGACTCACCACCCCCACGCCAGCAGCCTCTCGGTCAAAATCCTCCAGCCAAAGTCTGGTTGAAACTGGCCTCCCAGGAATGGGGCAGACTGTCTGCACTGAGCTCCTCCCCTTGTCTCTGCTCCCTGGGGGCATCCAGGTGCGTCTCCTAAACTGTCCTTAGTCCTCTTGGACACACATGCTCATCAACACAGAGAGAAGAAAATGTGTGCTTGGGGACGACTGAGTCTGGTCCTACACGAGTACCCCACGGACAGAGCAGGCCTCCCTTCTCAGGTACGAGCCCTAGTCTTGAGGGGACACACCCTGGCAGCTCAGTGAATAGAATGTTAGGTTGCAACCCCAAAGGCTAGCAGTTCAAATCCACCAGTTTTCAGTAATACGAACGCCCTGGTGATTAGCTCCTGCACAGATGTCCATGGCCAGAGTCTAATGTGACTCCCAGTGACCCTGGAGGACGAGCAGAGCTGCAGGCCCTCAGACTGTCTGTCACCCATGGAAGCGGCTCTTCTGTCTTACATCGTCTCTGTGGGTCCTAATCAAGTTAGAGGATGTGGAGAGCTCAGGGGGTAGACTGCCAGTTTTTTTCTCTAACAGAGGCACTGAGTGGGTTTGAACTGACAATCTTTTAGTTAGCAACCAAGGGTTTAACTGCTACACTACCAGGGTTCCCCAGGGTGAAAGCTGAGAGCATTAAAGAAAAGGGGCTTGATTTATAAAGTCTGATCACAGGAATGTTGTTGTTGTATACTATCAAGCTGGACAAAGGTAACCTCAGAGGTTTTCAGGCAGTAAATTGCACAGGGGGACCTTGCCCATCTTTCTCCTGTGGGCAGCTGTGGATCCGAACCATGTGTCTTTCGGATGGCAGCACAGCTCCTTACCACAAGGCCACCAGCGCTTCCTGATCTATGGGCGAGTTTCCTGCAAAGTCAGTGAGAAGGCAACCAATCAACTGCTGCCGGATGGATGCTGACTCAGACCCACGACGCTCTACCATGTTTCCAAGGCTGTGAATCTTCACTGGAGGAGACTGCCCATCACTGTCCCAGGGAGAGGCAGGTGGACTTCAATGCCTGACCTCCAGTCAGCAGACAAACACGGAACACACTTGAGCTCTTGGGCTCTGCACACTCCTGCTGGCCCCTGGCACCCTGGACTTACCATGACGACGCCTCCCGACTGCTCCGCCGTGCACATGCTCATGATGGGCGCCATGCCGATGGTGGTCCCCTGGAAATACACCCCACTAGGGAAGAGAAGAAACAGTCACTGGAACACTCCGACGGTGACCGATGCCACAGGGGAAGCCCTACCTGAGGTACATTCAGTCCAGCCTTTACGTTCTTATTTCTTTTACAATTCAATTTCCAGCATCATTTTGGAGGTTTTGGTTCTAAACAGCAGACAACAAGCAGCCATGGATTTTGTATATATAAGCTGCAACCTTGCTAGTTCTACAACCCCTTTTAAACAGAAATGCTAACGGAGAGGTCACTAAGCATGGTCACCAAGAATCAACCCTCACACAGGGCAGCACGTTTTGCTACTTGCTAGATTTTCTCTAGTAGCTGGAGCTCACTCTCCTGCATAGCTTGTTGCAGTGAATTCAGAAGCCTCAAGTCCTCCCGAGTGTCGTGCTCAGAAAACAGCAAACACAAACGGGCAGTCAAGGCCTGCTCTCCTGGGCCGGCCTCGCACAAATAAACTCCCACAAGGCCTTGCTGCCAGAGCGTAAGTTCTGAAGGCGGAACCTCCCAGCCCTGGTGCAGACATCCTTGTACTGCAATCTGATGATCAATGAAGGTAATGACACCAAGGACCTGGCCAGGGGCATGCTGTCACACCTGACGTCATACATGAAAAAGAAAACCTTGTTTGTGAAAAACCCTTTGAAGGAAACCAGTGTTTACCCACCTAATCTTGGTCACATACGCACACAGATTATTTATGCATAATTTGAAGAACGAGATATTCTGGCAGGGGTCAACTAGACCCAAACCACCTCGCCGCCCTTAAGGTCACTGACTCACAGCGACCCTATAGGACGGAGCATCACTGTCCTACAGAGGGAACCCAAGGCTGGTGCCTTCATGGAAAGAGGCTGCGTCATCGTCTCTCATGGTGTGGCTCGTGGATTTGAACCGTGTATCTTTTGGAGCAAATTTTGGAGAAAATGGTTGAATGATCAAATGCTAACTGAAAGGTTGGCAGTTCAAAGCCACCCAGAAATGCATCAAAAGAAAGGCCTCATGATCTGCTCCTGGAAGGCCACAACCTCACCCTCAGAGCTTCACGTGTGGGGCCACTGTCTGTCAGAGCCACGCCACATGCCTGAAGCCGCTGTGTGTCAGAGACCACGCCACATGCCTGGGGCCACCTCATGCCAGAGTCTGTGCCTCTGAGATCACATGTCAGAGTCTATGCCATTGTGACAGCACGTCAGGGGTCACTGTGCGTCAGAGTCCACGCCACGGCGACAGCCTTCTGGAAGGACACAGCCTCATCGACCCTCAGAGCTGCACGTGTGGGGCCACTGTCTGTCAGAGCCACGCTACATGCCTGGGGCCGCTGTGTGTCAGAGACCATGCCACGACAACAGCCTTCTGGAAGCCACAGCCTCACCAACCCTCAGAGCTGCATGTGTGGGGCCGCTGTCTGTCAGAGTCCACGCCCCATGCCTGGGGCCACCTCATGCCAGAGTCTGTGCCTCTGAGATCACATGTCAGAGTCTATGCCATTGTGACAGCACGTCAGGGGCCACTGTGCGTCAGAGTCCATGCCACAGCGACAGCCTTCTGGAAGGACACAGCCTCATCGACCCTCAGAGCTGCACGCCTGGAGCCGCTGCGTGTCAGAGTCCACACCATGGAGATTGTGTGAACATTTAGGTCTTACGTAGAACACATGAACACATGCAGTTATACACATATATTAATAATAATGTTATAGAAGAGACTAATTTACTTCCAGATGTTCAAGTTGGACAGATGTCATTTGGGAGAAAACAAAGCACTCATATTTGAAATATCTGAAATATAATTCCAGTAGTTCAGGACTAATCAAGGCACAGCTATGAGGCAGCCACAACAGTAAGAGAAAAGCAAAAACTCCATGCAAATGGGCCAAGTCGGTGATCCGGGGACACCGGCAGCCATGGTTCAGGCGCGGGCCTGGGGAGGGAGGACCGGCAGCACTGGGCCAAGTCAGTGATCAGGGGACACCGGCAGCCATGGTTCAGGCGCGGGCCTGGGGAGGGAGGACCGGCAGCACTGGGCCAAGTCAGTGATCAGGGGACACCGGCAGCCATGGTTCAGGAGCGCGTGTGCGGCGGGAGGGCCGACAGCACTGGGTCTAATTTCCCAGTAACAGTCACTGCACTACAGCTGATTTGTTCTCAAAGTTTTCAAGTCAGTGATGTAAGCGGCCTGGGAACAAAAGAATGATGGTGTGTGCTGGTGAAGGTCTTTTTATGAAAACTGTATCACTTCCGGAAAAATATACTTCACACCAGTTTAGACTCTAACAATGTCACTTCTTTTAATGACAAAGGTTTCTTCAAGACATCACAAAGATACTATGTTGTTATATTATAACGTAACGCTATATTTTATTGTTGTGTTATGTTTTCTGTATTATGCGCTATGTTATGTACAATATGTTATGACATTTGGTCATACGGCTATATTAGCATATGGTGTTATATTATGCTATTCTATGATGGAATACTGTTATTTTTCACATTGTGTTATTGTAATACACTGTTTTGCTATCTTATAGTACATTGTTTTGCTCTATTTTATTATATTGTTATAATACGGTATTGTAATAGTTATCATGACATAAGCTATGTCATTTAATTATGTTATGCACAGTATGATATGTTCTATTGTTGGAACACATGTCATGTTGTTACATTATATAAACAGCAGGACTTTACCTTATGTTAATCTGGTTTGTTTGTCATATTATTTTGCTGTGTTATTCTGTTATAGCTGAGCTATGTTGTTCTGTTTGTTACATTATGCTTTTGTTATTTCATGGTATAGCTATGTGCCCCTCATTATCATGAGAACCTCACTTTCCTAGTATTTTCCTCTGGGTTTCTCTCTTCCCAGCAGACACCCTGGTATCAGGGAGACTTTATCTTGATCATTATTGTGTTCAAAGTTCCTAAATCCTTATCTGGTCCCTTCTCAGGGTTCAATATTTATTGATTGAAAGAAAAAATACTATTGGCATGCTTTGATCTGGAAAGCCTATGCGGGATGGGGCACAGGAAACGGAATGAAGATTTTCTTCCTCCAAGCGTCTGTCAATATTCCCCCAAATGCATGGTCTTCAGATCTCGCAGAGATAGTTTCTCCACTAATACAGAAACCAAGAGCACTGAAGAAAAAGAGCCCAGTTAGGACAACCTGATCTCAAGATTAACTGTTTGTGGCCAAGTCAATGCGCCCTGCGACCACTCCACGTGGGTCAGGCCAGAACACAGTCCGTCTCACTCTCATCGCCACCAAAGCCAGAGCAGGGACTGGAACCGCCAGAGAGGAGCTGCCTCTGGATTAACGGCACAGTCCCCTGCAGCCCAAGCCACTGGAGCTCCTCCAGGGGACACACTGATTATTCATAAGCAGAACACCAGGCCTTACTCCCAAGGGTCCCTGGGTGGACTCTGCCCTCTGCCCTTTCTGTTAGTGACCCGCATCACCCGGGAATTCCGCAGGAGCTTGGTGGTACAGTGGCCAAACACTCAGTGGCTAAAAGGCTCAGAGGAAGAAAAGGCCTGGCACGCAACCTGTCCTGTGAAGATGAATCTCAGACAACCAAACCCACAGCTATGTGCTGATTCTGACTCACAGGGACCCCAACGCACAGAGCCAGTTACTCCCCGAGAGCCCCACGGCTGGAGGTCTTTATGGGAGCACACTGCCTCCTCTTTATACTGAGGCTTGTCAGTGGAACCGTGGTCTTTGGATCAGCACTCAGATGCTGAATCCACGGTGCCACTAAGGTTCCCTCCATAAAGAGTGCCGCCTAGGAAACATGACACAGCTCTACCTTCCTGCAGCGCTAAGGGACGCACGTGCCCCAGCAGTTACGCACCCCGCTACTAACTGAAAGATCAGCAGTTTGAACTCACAGACTGCCCCATGGGAAGACGACTTAGAGATTTGCTCCCATGAAGATCCTCCTATGCAACTGTTCAGGGAGATCTGGGGGCTCAGCAATAAGGAGCTGCTCTGGCAACCCAAAGGTACATAGTTCAAATCCACCAGCTGCTCCTCCACAGGATAAGGATGGGCGATCTCCTCCCATGTGACTAACTGCTTCAGAAAACCCACTAGAAGGCCAGCTGTGGATTGGTGTCTACGTGAGGGCACGTAACAGCAACAACATGGCACTGCTCACCTTGTCCTAGGAGGTCACCATGAGTCACGATCAAGTCATCACATATAGAAACTCCCTATCACGATTAAGAAGGAATCAGTCCAGACAATGGGAAAGTTAACGGTGACACGTGCTCAGGAGAGCATGTTCTCAGGTGGGAAGGACCGAGTCCTGGCCAGCACAACCCCGTCTCAACTCAGGGGGACTCTGTGTCCCTGAGCTCAAGCCAGAGAGCTCTGCAGAAAGGCCTGGCAACTCCAGGAACCACGGAGATAAGGATGAGGACAGCGAGGGTAGACTGTGCCCACTAATCCTGAAGTGGGGGAGACTGCCCTGCCCCACCCCACCGCCCACGAGCTCCCTACCTGATGAGCTGGGCATTGTCGTGGGATTTGCGAGGCAGAAGCCTCATCTTCCTCCAGTCCAGGAACTCGTGGAGGCTGGTGAACGGGTCCTGACTTATGGAGCACTTGTCAACGTCGTTCCACACCTCCACGCCCACCAGCACGATGCGGATGTTCAGGGCTCTGTAAAACTGAGGGAACAGGCACGCTCGAGGACCTGCCAGGGGCGCCTGGAACGGAGATTAGAGCTGACAGCGCCGGCGGAGCTTTGTGTTCGTGGGCGGAAAAGCGATCTTGACGCTCTTTCCCCCGTGACATTAGAACGTAAGCAACATTTGCAGAGCCTCATGCAATGAGATGTGTTAACTGGGTTCTCAAATCGTGTTGATCAGCTAGATGTAAAAATTATTAGCATTTTACAGTCTGCTGTATTTGTAGAGGAGCATTCATTTCAAATGATTCACGGGTGATTTAAAATGTGCATATAGATGTGTGTTATAGCTAAAGACTGCCAGTTAATATCTCCTGCAAGAAAAATAAGGAGTGAATTAGGAGCTTTCTTACGCTTCTGCCAAGGACAATAATTTGTTCATTTAAAGTAAAATGGTTTGCTTATGAGTTACTTGGAAAAAAAAAGAATCTGTACTCATTGTGGAGCAAAGACTCAGACTTGGCTGACAGGCTCGTATTCTGTCAGCTATAATCAACCTTGGAGGTTTTAATTAAATGAGCGACTCAACAGCACTGAGGATGCTGCAGGCTTGGACTGAGGATTTGCAGGCACTGAGGGCTTGGCACGGCCATCCTGCTCCCGTCGCCAAGTGTTAGCCCACTGCCCTGACACGGAGAAGATCTAACCGCAGGTGAGTGGAGGGCTCCTTCTGCCGGCAGGCAAAACACACACGTCCCAGCCAATCTTCTTCCCTGGTCTGTATCCAGACCGCATGGATCCTGTACCTGCAGCGAGTCCTTGTGTATTCCCCACTTCCACCGACTTCAGCGGACAGGATGCCCTGGACTGGAGATAAGAAAAGCTGTTCTTTCCACGGCTGAATGGAGCAGCTGGTGTGTTCGAACCAGTGACCACCTATCTGATAAGCAGCAAAGAATTGAATGACTCCCCCACCAGGCTCCGTAAGGCACGGACAGGTGGCACAGGTGGTTTGTGTGTGAAGACTAACCTAAAGGTTGGCAGTTAGAAGCACAGAAGCCCCACAATCTATTTTCACCAAGATGAAAGCCAAGAAAACCCACGGGGCAGATCTACTCTGGGTCGTGGGTCACCCTGGGCTAGAAGCCTCTCGGTGCTGAAGAACACAACCAACGCAAACGAATGGCTTACTGTTCCTATGGTAACAAAACACAAGGTGTTCCAATGACCTTCACTAGTGGAGCTCACTGACATTAGCGATGTCATCACTATGTTCAACCGTCACCACGTCTGTTCTCAGATGACACCATCACCTCCCTCAGAAGCTCAGGGTCCCCTGACACAGAGTCCTCCTTTCCTGTCCACCTTCATGACCACAGATGAATGCTAACCTCTGGGCGCTTCTAGACATTTCACACACATGGGCTCCCAGGGTACTGGCCCTGTTGTGGACATTTCACTCAGATGTTTTCAAAGTCCTGCACAGTTGTCTCTGGGGACACATAGGTGTGGGGTGAGCGGTCAGGGCTGGGTGTGAACTACCCCACCTGCTGCCTCACTGTCCTCCGTGGGCATCACAGGGACAGGGAGGAGGTGCTGGGCTGGTGGGGTGAGGATGTGGGGTGCCTGTGGAAGCTCCCGATGCTCACGTTGTACGGGGCAGCACACCCAGAGGTCTCATCTGTTGGAAGCCCAGTTTCTAAAGCCAAACCTGACCCGTTACCGAGTCATGCTGACCCTCCCAGAGGTTTCCAAGGCTGTAAAGCTTTGTTTTGCTTTCTGCATTTCAGTGAAAGTTTATAAATCATATTGTCCTTTAGTGAATATTTCAGTATCTGTATTGGATTTTCATTTATACACAGATAAGTATTTTGTTTAATAGCATTAATCATAATTGATGAATGCAATTACTTTATCAAAATGTCTAATCAAACCCCTATCATTTAACGCCTTTCCTTTCAATTTCTTTTCATGCCACTTCATCATCTTTTTCTTTCTTCTTTCCTCTTCCTTTCTGCCATCCATCCATCCATCCACGCACCCAGCCATCCATTTTCAGGCTGGTGACAGCAGCCGAGTCAAGCTCCAAAGGCAAGCAGATTCTGTTCTCAGCTGCTAGAAGCATCCGAGCTACAAGCACATCACAGAAGCTCCACACTTAATGGCTAAGCACCATTCCAGCATGCTGAGCTCAAGTGCAGTAAACTCCCAAGATGGAGCATCTGACCTTGACCCTGACCCATGGGAGGCGGCTCATCTTCTCCCTTGGCCTCCTCTCCGTCGTCATCTGGAGAACATTAAGTTTGCAGAAGAAAGCATTCAGAGCTCAGTCCTCACCAAAGAATGTAAACTGAGTGCAGCCACCCAACTTGGTTCCAAACAGATAACAATTATGGGCATCGCATTCATAAGTTAATGAGATGATGCCATGAGCAAACTGCTGTCCAACAGCTTGTGTTTAATCAAGAACTGCTTGGCTTGTGCTATACTCTTGCAGCTCCCAGCCCAGACTTTAAAGGGGAAAAAAAAGTGTTTCTGGAATTGTTAAGGTTCTGAATGTATGTGTCTGTCCTTTGATTGAGACTTGAACTTCAGCTCTAGAACTACAAGGTGGCAGTGGTCAGAAGGCAGAAACGCAGATCTGCTGTGGATGACAACACCTGCTTGCTCAGTGACACCCTCAGGAACAGACACCTGTCCGTGGTCCAGTGGTACCTGTGAGGGGAGGACTCGACCTGCCTCCATGGAGTCAGAAGCCAAAGCCCAAGGGGACTTTGCTGTGATGTTCCACTAGCTCAGCTCCTAGTCACACCCCCTGTGTCCAGCAGACGCAGCACTCCCCGGTCCTGGGCCTTCCTCGGTCACTGCGATGCTTATGCCCATTTGTGCAGCCTCTGTGTCATACCATTTTGTTGAGGAGCTTTCTCTTTTTTGCTGACTCTCTACCTTACCAAGTACATACAGGAAAAGATGCAACAAGAAAGTGACCGAGTCTGACTTCTTCCTGCTTCATAAAGGGGATCTTTCCCTATCAGTAATTTCCATAGCACCATACAAATAACTATATGGTCAGATATGCCACCCGACACACTCCTGTACCTATTTTTACATATCATTGGATCCACTGTTCATTGACACTTGACTCAACAGACTTTACCCACAGGTGTGGGGTTTACTAGGGAAATCTAATGGGGGGGAGCAAAGAATAACACACGATGCAAGTCCATATTTAGTCCAGTAGTCAGAAGCCAGATTAACAGCAAGACACAACTCCTCAATTAGTTCAGACAGTTTCTCAGTCAACAAGTGAACGTCTAGGTTCAGTTCAGCAGCACACATAAACCTTTGGTTTCCTCAATCAGTCCTGCAGACTTTATCGCAGAGCAGTTACAAGCCAGCTTCTCATTTCATCATCTAGCAAGCAAATCTTTTAACTCTGGCTCCATCTCCAGGGTTCCTCCAGCTACATCTTGCCACAGTTACTTCACAGCAGTGCCACAGCCTCTTCACCCTCTCTCCACCACCATCTACTCACAGTGTGGAAAGAATTCCCTTCTATCGGTCCCACAGCTGTTGATGATGTGTAAGACCATGTGTCTGCAGTTGATGTAGTTGGAGACCATGGCCCCAACTGGTGTTAACACAATGGCTGGAAAAGCCGGTTTTCAAGGATTTGGACACCAAACCAAGTATGATGTGGTCCTTCGGGGACTGTTCCTCTTGACAGCATAAACAAAGTCCACGAGATAAAGTCTCACTATCTTTACTTCTGAGGAGCATCCTGGCTGCACGTCTTTCCAGTTTTTCTCATTTTACTGGCAGTCCGCAGACTATTCAATCTCCTTCACCAACATCATGACCCAATACAACAGTTCTTCTCTGGTCTTCCTTATGCGTTGTTTAGTTTTTGCATGCATATAAGGCAATGAAAAATCAGGAACATCTCCATCCTCAAAAGGACATGCTGGGGAAGGTGTGTTTTTAATATTTTCAAGAATATGTACTGCACTGAAACAAATGAGGGAGTGAATAATTTAAAAGCGATGTATGATAGGGTATTATGGTTATCACAAGAGTCCACAATTAAGGTTGCATGGTGGAATGT